CATGAAGACCCATAGCAGACTGTGAGTTTATCACAGCCCACTTGGTACTCATGCTGTCTCCTGTTGGCTGGGATCTAAAAGTTCCCCCATGAAGGCACAACATAGGACAACCCCCACCGTACCCTAAGAGCATCGAGGGCAAACCTCCCCCTGTAACTGTGCCCAGGCCACCCTCTGTAACTGCATCCTAAAACCCCTAAAGGAACTCTGACCAGCCCCTAGCTTCCCCGCCCCCGGCAGGGAGGTTGCTGCCCCTTGCTGTGCTGATAAATGCAATCCCTTCTGTTGAGCTCAGACTTGGTCTCTTCCCTTCCTGTACTCTGCTCTGGAATCTAACACCCACACTTAGCTCCTTGCCGTCACCCTTTCCTGCCCAGAGTGATACTATTCCATGGATGGTCTGTCTGGGTCTCTTGGGGCCTCTGCAGCAGCTGAACTCTCTGCCTCTTGTTTCTTTCAGGAGAGCAGAGATGAGAGCTGTCACGTGGTGGATGTGGCCACAGGCAGGTGTGGTCATCCCTTCAGCCTGTGGAAGGGATGGGACAGTCAGTCTCAGAAGGGGGCATAAGTGTGGGGGTCGATGAAGAGGAAAAGCCCCACTGTCATTTAGGGCCTCTGGATCAGACTGTTCCCAAAGGGAATTCTGGCTCAAGCCTTGCGGTGACATGAAGTCTTAATGAGTATTTTCTCTTGAGCTCATTTGAATTGAGCTTCTCATGTTTACAGCTAATAAAATCCCAGCAACTATACCAGTTGAGGGCTGTGTTCCTTCAAGGGCTAGTTGCTTATTGGATACAGTTAGCCTAAGAGAGGCTGCAAAGGGAGATAATTTCATGTTCTCCCTAATTATTTCTCTAGCAAACTCCAGAAAGTCCATTGGAAATCCTTCAAAACAAATTGTCTGCGGCTGGAGAAATGCTCAGTGGTTAAGAGTGCTTACTCTTCTTGTAGAGGACCCAAATTTTGTTTCCAGAATCTACATCTGGTGACTCAAAACCACCTGTAACTCCAGCTCCAGGGGTTATAATGCCTTTTTCTGGCCTCTGTGGGCACCTGCACTCATGTACACATACACATAATCTTTTTTTGAGACAGGGTCTCCCTGTAGCCCCAGCTGGCCTGGAACTCACCATGTATACCAGGCTGGCCTTGAACTCACTGAGATCCACCTGTCTCTGCCTCTCAAGTGCTGGGATCAAAGGTATGCACCACTGTGCCTGGCTTTCATACACATAACTAAAAAAAATTAAAATCTTTTAAGAAAATGACCCAGAGTACATGTTTTATGTACACACCCACAGATGATTTTTTTTAAATATTTTATTACTTTTATTTTTATTTTTATTTTGTGTGTATGAGTGTATTGCCTACGTGTGTAAGTGCATCCATGTCGTGCAATGCCCATGGATGTCAGAAGGAGGCATAACATACCCTAGAGCTGGAGTTACGGGTGGTTGTTAGCCACCATGTGGGTGCTGGGAATTGAACCTGGGTCCTCTGCAAGAGCAGTCAGTATTCTTAACCACTGAGCCATCTCTCCTATCCCAAACAGATGATTTTTAAAAGAAGGACAGTCATACTAGTTGTCCCAGTTTGCTTTTCTGTTGCTGTGAATAAACACTCTGACCTAAAAGCAAGTTGAGGAGGTAAGGGTTAATTTGACCTATACGTCCAGATCACAGTCCATCAGTGAAGGAGGTCAGGGCAGGAACTAAAACAGGAACTTGAAGCAGAAACCATGGAGGAACCCTGCTTGGTGGCTTGCTTGAAGCCTCTTGCTTATCTAACTTTCTTATACAGCCCAGGACCACCTGGGTAAGGATGGTGCCACCCACAGCGGGCTGGGCCTTCCCACGCAAATCACCAATCAAGACACTCTGACAGGTGTGACTGCAGGCTGATCTGATCTAGGCAATTCCTCAATCAAGACTCCCTCAGATGACTCTAGGCTGGGTCAAGTTGGTAGCTGAAAGTGAACTCTAAGACATCAATCAACAGATAAGAAAGATTTCAAGGCAAATGATTAAATTGCTTAAAGACAATAATTTTATATTTGATAAAAGATTCAGAATCAGGTTTTAACTCACATT